TGTGTGTGTGTTTGTGTGTGTGTAATTTAAAAAAGAAATATTCATTTGAAATAAAGTTTCTTTAAATAATAGGTTAAAAGGATTTCTTTTGTATAATATTTTTGATAACTAATGAAAATTGGAAATGTCAATTAATTTAAAATAAAATCATGAACACAGACCTATAATACTTATTTTTTTACATAATACTCCTATATTTTTACAAAAAATTTTAAAAAACCCACCTTTACATTTTGCACCGAAAAACTCATTAGTATATCTATTTAAATAAAAACAAAAAAAATATCACAAAAAAATAATGCTACCATGGTTACCAGACCTTCTTTTTGCCTTAGTTAAAATTTCAAAAATACCTGTAGGTGAAGTACAATCACCATATTGATATAGTTCTAAATATTCTCATTACAAACAAATATTATATTCTGATTCCTCGTCCTAAAAACTTTACTGGGGCTCATTTTTAGCTTAATTACATGTTTAGTTAAGCAGTAACTTGTAAAACAAAAACTATAGTAAAATCAAAATGGCCGCCGAACAGAAAAAACTGCTAAAAATAACTGATTTTAAAGTAACAATAACTCCAAAGCCCCTTTGATACCAGTGCTAAAATTTTGCAAGGTAGTCTATGTTATATAGATGACCATTTTTATAAAGTATGAAGAAAATCTGAGATGGTGGGTTACATACCTGTCCCACTTTCTCATGGAATACCTCAGCTGCAATGGAGGATTAAAGTTTATTTTTCGCGGAGGTGACAATACCGAATGCAAACATTTAAAAAAAATTGCGTGTTGACTTACCGAATCGGTAAGTTGCATTTCAGAACTTTTTCGTTACAAAACCGAAAAAGGTTGCCTTAACGAACGATTTTCGTGGCGTTATCGTAGATAAACATGGTCATCATCATCATCATCATCATCATCATCATCATCATCATCATCATCATCATCATCATAAGGCTTTAGCTTTTCTCTTTTAAGCTGTTTCTCTAATATAAACAATCTAGAGCATTTTTATTCCTAACTTTTATTCCTAAAGCTCATTTATACAATATATAAGGCACTCTCTTCAAATTTTCTTACTTCCACCACAACCATTTTCTACTGAAGCTGCTACCACTCTACATGTTGATACCTAAAATACTTTAACCTTTTCTAACAAACAATGTTTTACACAACGTTTTTTCTAACCTGTCTAAGATTATGCCTCCTTTTCTTGTTTTGCTAGAGTCACACCACGCATCCATCTGATCATCTTCTCTTTCGGCAAATACTACACCATAAAACTACTAAAGTTTATATAACAATAAAAGGATATTGTATGACAGCATCTAAACAAATAGCAAACATACATGTTTATATTCATAATATGTGTGCAAAAAGTGCATCTTGGAAGTTTTTATTGCTTCTGTAATAAAAGTCTGGAAGCTTTTATTACTTCTCTTTAGTTTTAAATCATACCTCATTCTGCTCTACATTTTTCAACATTAACCACTTTTTCATCTTTTTTAAAAGAACATCTTTCTTAAGAAAAAATGTCCTTTTTATTATTGCAATAAGCTAGTGTATAAATAAAGTCCTGATGTAAATCTCTATTATTCTCAGTTTACTAAATCTTGTATCTTATCTCAGATGTTATGTTCTAGAGACTTTTGGTTAGTTTTCAACAGTGTCAATAACTAAAGTCTAACATTTAATCTCTAATTCATGGGTCTGATCTTTTTACTTTTCCCCAGTATAAAGCAGATCTATTTGCAAAGAAATCTTACTCTAATTTAACTCTCGAATATAACGGCCATACTCTTCCTGACAGTTAAACAGATTAACCCATTGTTAAGCATTAAAATTACTCTGACTTCCAATACAAAAATTAATTCTCAATTAAACACTTCTACAAGTTTTACTTCAGACAAGATTTCCATCATAGTCTTAAAAATGTTCTCCAGAACTCTCTCCAATTTTTGTTTTATCTACAATAACGATCTTAATGAAATCTAAAGTGGCTCTATTTGCTGACGACTCAACTTTATACTCTTGTCTTGACATGAAATCTTCACTTTTTAATTGCTTCAAACAAACAGTCAATTTTAAATCTGATCTCTTTTCTGTAACAGCCTAAGGCTTGGCTTATGGATTTAAATTCTGGACTTGAAATCCACAATTTTTGTTTGGCAACAAAACTCATTTATTTACTGCAAAAAAATATTGCAATATTGTTGGCATTCCTATATTGACAAATAATAACCCTCTTACTCTCAAACAAAGTCTAAACTAACTAGACCTGCTTTATCTGCCAAGCTTGAGCCATTCTTTCATTGTTATAAGGTTGCATTTCTTTCTTTTTTTTTACAAACACAATCATGGTCAATGCTCTAAAGAGCTATTATCTCTATAACGATAAACCAAAACTCATTCTTGCTTGGCTATTTATTCAACAAATTGTATCCTTTTACTGTACTTGTATCTTCATGCTATAAAATCTTTTTACACCATGATAATTAATCAAGTTTTTTTCTTTGAACATTAAAAAAACCTTATACCTTACCCAACTTCATGTTTTCCTTCTTTATACAACTTACAATTTTTTATGTCTTTAGTTACACGTTTCCTAGTATTTTAACTGATTCTCTATTTTAAAGTAACTCATTACTTAATAGTGGTTGCTTGAAATCTTGTTGGAAGTAAATTAGAGTTTAAAAATATATAAAATGTATGCCAGTATTTAACAAATAGTAAATATAAGCATGAAATTATAATATATCTAGCCCTAACTATCAGCCCCTGCTAAATCTTATAATTTTGCTGGGGCCGCTGCTGCATTTGCAAAAAGTTGCATTTTAAGATGGGGCCCTGATTTCTTACTAACTGTACCACTACATTATTACTGCATTAAATTATTTATAAATGGTATAGTATTAATGAAATAGTGATGAAAAAGATTTACCTTTACATTTTAAGAGCTTTTTGGCAGTATGTCTGATATTATAAGTGTATAAAAATATAATTTCTTGAGCCAAATTTAGTTTCAAAGCAAGTGTGATATGTATAATGCATGAGACTTTACTGGTAACTGAAGTAAGGTAACTGAAGAAGACCTCTAAAGAGCAAGTTTCTATACTCGATGCAAAGGATAGTTTAATAAAGCTTCACATTCAGCACAAATAAATTTTTTCGATAGTATTTCATAATGAGAACAGCAATGTAGCAATGCCTTATCATGCTTTTGTTTTTTAAAATCAATCTTCACCAAAAACATGTTAACTCTAGTATGAGATTCAACTCCTAGTATTCTATATGCCCTTTTATTAACATTTTTATTTGAAGTGTCTTTTCTTTTTATGTAAAACAACAATAAAATAACCTCATTGTCTATATTTTTTAAATCAACTTTCCAGAAAATCACTTTAAAAACAATAAAAATAAAATTATAGCTTCATCAAGTAGTAATCACACAAATTGGCAGATCTTTTTAATATTTTTTCCATATCATTTGCTGTTTGTTTGCTAAGATTAAAGATCTCACAAGAAATTAACTGCATTATTTGCCATCAATCAAACCATTGTAAAAAACGGCACTTTTTATTGTCATTAACAATTGCATAACTAAAATAGTTGTTTCAATATTTTGGCTTTATATCTGGTAGTAATTAATAGGTGTTAAAGCAAATATTGTGGAAAATAACTTTTAATGGAAATTAGCATAGTTTTGTAAAAAATTTTGTTTATCATTTACTGGGAAGTTTAAAATGTGAATTTATATGTCTCTTAAAGATTAAATCTTTTTTACATAAAAATATATGATTTATTTTGATTACTAATGTCACATCTTGTAGAAAATTTCTTTAATGTACATGGAATAGATAATACCAAAGAAAGTTTTGTTTTTGTCTTTAATGTACGTGGAAAAGACAATAGCAAAGAAAGTTTTGTTCTTTTGAACAAGTAGTTTGTATTGGTTCAAGGTCATAAATAAGTATCGTTCTTGCATCATGCTTTAGAAGTTTGGAATCATAGTGAGCACTACAAACAACTGAGTGGTCTGTAAGAAGCTAAGTTTTTTCATTAATCAAACATAACCTTTTTTTATTTTTGTCTTTTTATAGCACCGCAAAAGATGAAAAAACTTTTTTTTATTAGTTTTAGACATTTCTGAAGTCATCTTCCATAACCTTTTTTGGTGCTTTACTTTTGTGTAAATTTGCTTTTTCTTTTGTGTAAATTTATTTATTTAAATCTTATTTAGAAGCATAATACATTAGTTTTTTATAAGTTATATTAAAACTTATAAATAACTAACTTAACTAATATTAAAATCCATAAATAAGCAAACAAATAAGATATATAAAAAAAGCCATAGAGGTATGTGCTGAATAGTTTTGTCATTTTGTCTTTTAAGCAAGTGTTGTAGTTGCCCATCTTTTAAGCAAGTGTTGTAGTTGCCCATCTTTTAAGCAAGTGTTGTAGTTGCCCATCTTTTAAACAAGTGTTGTAGTTGCCCATCTAACTAACTGTATAATTATAAAAGTAAATATAAAAAGTTATAACTAAAAACATATTTATAAACATATATATAAAATATTCAATTTAAAATACAATTATTAAAATGCTTTGTTTAAATACTATAAAATACAAAAGAGCTAAGTAAAAAATCAAGAAGTCCATTCTTATTCTCATTTTTTAGAGCACCATAAAAATCTCATAGTTTTATTTTGGAAGGTCACTTTTTTATATTGAAGAGCATTATAAAATTCTCAAAAGCAAATCTTCGAAGCTTTGCTTTGAAAAAACAAAGCTTTGAAGTCTAGTTTCGACAACTTTTTTTTTTTTGTATTGAAAAGCAAACAAAAAATTGTTTCTCAATTCAAAAATCATTATTAATTGTCACTGATTGTTGTATCCTGGCCTGTCAATCCTGTATTTTTTCTATTTAGAATTGCAACGTTTCATTAAATCAGACATAATTACATACAAAATTTTACACTTTGACAGAATATAATTTGAAAGAGTTTATTAAGGAACATTACATCAACTTGTTGCTTAGTTACCTTGTTTGCAAAGTGTTTTAGAAGTTGTTGAGGGAACATTTTGACAATAATAAAAGACATTTTTTTTTTACTTTTTAACAAAGTTTTATCTTTTTCACTTATGATGAATCATTAACAAAGTATTATCGAAAGTAACTTATCAGGTGACATGGAAAAATCTGGTCAACTTTAAATTTAGATTTCTCTAAAACCATAGATGCTTTTTATTTCAATTTTTTTATTGTTAAATGTGTTTACATCAATTAGAGTTTCAACTTAATTTTAAGGCGCTTGATGGGCTGTTTGGCAAGAGATTGAATTTTATAGCAGGTTGATTCCATCATTTCGCAGAGTTTTTTTTTTCTTCACCTTATTGGTGGCATTAATCCACTTTTTTTGGAAGTCCTTTTTATTTTTTGTTACTACACCTGTCTTACGAAGAACTCCTTTATCTATTGCCTTAAAATCTCCAATCTTGCGCTCTTCAGGACGATTTGGAGGATTTACATCTTTAGGAACAATTTTCACATTATTATCTTTGCACCACTGTAGAACTTTTTTAGAATAGTGAGAAGCAGCAAGGTCTGGCCAAAAGATGCAGCAAGGTCTGGCCTCTCATTCGTTTACTGTATCTGTCCCTGCATGCTCTAAAAACTTTTATTCATCTAGTTTTTTTCCCCGCACTTCAATCCTTTGGAACTCTCTCCCATCTTCATGTTTTCCTGACTCATACAACCTTCAACTTTTCAAGTCTTCTGTCAACCGTTTCCTTGCTCTATAACTCTGTTCTTTTTTTTTCCTAGTAACTCCCAACTTAATAGTGGTTGCTTGCAGCCTTGTTGGAAGTGAATGCAAATGCAAAAAAAAAAAAAAAAAAGAGGCATCGATATTTGTGTTTTTTCATAAATGGTTAGTCTTTTTTGAAGGCATTCTTTGATGTAGAGATTGGCAGTCAAGGTCTTTTTAGTGACAAAACAAGAGGACTGCATACCACAGGTTTATCTTTATTCTCAAAATAAAATTGTTGACCAGGAAGTTGTGAAAAATCTGCCTTGCAATATGTTTTGTCATCTTCAATTATGCACATACTTTTATCTGCCATTATTTTATCCACTTCTTTGTGCGTCGAGTTCCTTTAATTTTTCCATTTAAGCTTCTCTTAGGTGTACTTTTCTTATGAAATGCTTTAATTCTAGCATTTTTAATTACTTTTTTGATACAAGAAATCTTGAATTTTTTTGGTAGATCTTGCTGTGACTGGTTTGGATTTCTTGCTATTTAACGTAAAATCGACTTGACCTCTTTGGATTTATGGAAAGTTTTCTTTCTTCCACTTTCAGATTTTCTTTCGAAGCTTTGATTAGTCTTGAACTAATTTATAATATCTATGACTGTAGATTTTGGAACATTTGTACATTTAGCAATCAAGCGATATGAAGTCGATGGCTTTTTGCAAAAAAAATTCGCAACTTCTTTACACACCTCAATTTGTTTCCAAAACATTTTAAAGTCATTAACTTATAAACAAAAGTTTATTAACATAATTAAATATAAGGAAGTAAAGTTTAATTTAAAAAATAAAAGAAATAAAAAGCATTTGTGGTTTTAGAGAAATCTCAATTTAAATTTGACCGGATTTTTCCGTGTCCACTCGATATTTTAAAGATCTAGTTAACAAATTATAGTCATGCTAATAACATAGTTTATTATTTCCAGTGTTTAATTCTTAAATGTTTAATTTAAGTGTTAAATTTTTAAATATTAAGTATAAGTGTTTAATTTTTAAATATTTAATATAAGTGTTTAATTTTTAAATGTTAAATTTAGATTGTTTTTGGGCAGTTGCATTTCAGGATTTTTAACAGCTTTATCCATGTTTATTATTGACTTCTATTTGATGATTGTCTACTATACAGCAAGATCTGATATTTTTATTCATTCCGGTAAAATATAAATATAACTACATACAGTTTATGAATATGAAAATTAACCACATATAATTTATGCTATTTTCTGTTTACTTTCTTAAGTATTTTTCTGTTTTGGTTATTATTTAATTATAATAAGATATTAAAAAAATAGTGACATACTTGCTACATTTTTTTTATTTTATTTTTTTATTCTTTTTAAATGGCATCCATATCCCAACCCTCTTTAATACTGATTAAGAAATGCAAATAAATTAATTTTTTTATATAAATAATTTTCAAAAAATGTAAATAAACTTTTAGTTTAAATAATCAGACATTTTCCAAATGTTTAATTTATTGACACTAATTTTGTAAGTACACTTTAACATATGCACACTGTACACTGATTGTTGAAGGTTTTTTATGTTTTCCTATTTTGCACACATACTATATAGATTGTCCTAATTGTAATTTTTTTCTTTCGTTAAATTCCTAGTATTTGCATTTTTTAAAATATGTATTTTATTTTCTCAAATAACCTATACCTTTTGCATTTTATATTCTTTTTTTAGCAATGAAGAATTGGAAATTATATTTTTCAACATGCAAAGAAGCCTATATTATTTTTGTTATAGTCAATGGTCTACTTCTTTTAATTGCAATAGGCTTACTTGGTCATTTGATTGTTTTTCATTTTTATTTACGTAAGAAATGTTTTTGCTATATATTTTAAAATAATTTTAGATTAGGTTTTAATGTTTTGAAAAACTCTGTTTTATTAAATTATTTGTTACAAATTTCTTAAATAATCACATGTGGTTTGCCAGGAAAGTTTTTTTTTTTATAAAACTTACAAACTCTTTCTAGAAAATTTAAAGATGACATCTTTTCCTAATATTTTGTACAATTATTCTTATTAATATTGTACAGTTCCTAAACCAAAATGTTAAATTGAATGTTAAACTCAAATCTAAAATGTAATTATTCATTACTTAAATTAAAAAGTTGAGATCATTTCATATTATATTATGGATCCATGTAGATAAATTGACTTTTGGTTTTTACTTGTTATTTCCCTAGTCACCTTCAAGTTATTTTCCACTTACACCAACTTTCAGGACCTACAGGATATAAAATATGGTGTTGTGATTGGTAGTTGAAACTGGTGCAGTGAAAAAGCACAGCTTTGATGTTTAGTTTGGTAAAACCTTTTATTTCCAAGATTTTATGTATGAGCCAATACAATTCCAATGAGTGTTGAAAAATATTCAGTGTGCCAGCCCTTTTGTCCTAAAAAATTTTTTTGTGGTTTAAGTAACAATTATCATTTATTTTCCAGTTTTCATAACTTGGTTGTTGCTTTCTCTTGAAACTAACTTGACGCCCTCTGCAATACTTGCCTAATACATTGACTTCCACTAATGGCAGTTATTACACCACTAATGCCAGTTATTACACCACTAATGGCAGTTATTTCACCATTAGATGGCAGTTATTACCATTAGAAAAAAAAGTACAATCTAGAGAAACTTGGACTAATTGAACACCAATGTTGGATTTCTCAACAATTTTAATTTCATTTGCAATAAACTTTACTTAATCTTTAGCAACAGGATCATAAGAAGCTTGAATTTCTTTATGATTAAGCTGAAAAATATTTGCATGCAACTAATATTTGCGATATAAGACCCATCATTTCCTTGACCAATCTCACAAAAAGCAATACTCATTCGTAAGTTAATATCTAATGTAATATTGCCTTGTTTTTTTGCGTTTTATCTACAGTATTGTTTGTAAAAGTGTACCATTCATATGGACAAGTTCTGCATTTGATTTTTAAACTGTGTGAATGCTCTTTGATTTGTCATTTTAAATGGAATCTCCATTTTGACAATCTGGGCAATTACCAGCTTGTATCTAAGTTTCTTTTATTGGGAAATATAATCAAATTAAAGTCTTCTAACAACTGTTTTTCATTTAATTGAAATTTTCCAAGTTTCTTTTATTACAATTTTTAATAAATTTTTGTTTAACATGTTTTAAATTAAAAACTTGTGTTTTTTTGTTTAAACTTAACTTGTTTAACTTGCTACAAAATTCGTAAAGCTATTATGTTTGTTTAAGCTACTAATTTTAATGTAATCAATAAACTCTTTACATTTTTTGAACTTGTTTGAACTTTTTGAACTATTAACTCGTTATGTTTGTTTAATCTTTTAATCGTTATTCGTTATACTTGTTTGATATAGTTTTTAAAGATTTATCCACCTATGAATATATTGTAAATGCAAGACAAAGTTTTGGAGCAAAAACAGAAAAAGAATCAGATAATAAAAATGTTATGGAAGATGATTTCATTGAACGTGTTAGTTACTTTTACTCTTTTTTTTAATTTATAGTTTTAGTTACTTTTTTTATTTGCTGTTTATTAGTGAAAGAACATTGTTTCATTAATTTTAGGAGGCACCTGTTGTAATGAAGGATACATTTTTTGAAGTTGATAAGAAAAGGTAAGCGTTATTTTATTATTTTAAATCATTTTTAAATTTTGATATTTTTTAATTGCTGCTTTGTTAATTAATTTATTAATTTAAAATATCCCATTCAGTAATTATGAAATGCTTCATATAAGTAACGGTACTGCTGGTAGATCGAGGGTGAGTGATATTTCTTCCTATAATAATCAAATAAAATTATTATTATTACATAATAACTATGTATTATTCATTATAATAATATTATTTTTATTATTATTTTTATTGTTATTATTGTTTTTATTGTTGTTATTATATTATTTTTATTGTTATTATAATTTTTATTTAAATTGTTGTTGCTGTGATTATTGCTAGCATGATTGTTTTGAAGCCCTCATGATTATTTTTAAGGATGCTGGGGATGGACAATCCCCCTCTGATTCACATGGACCTAGTGATATGTTTAATAATAGTGGCAATGCTCGTGTATCTCCAGACCTTGAAAATGAAGTCTTAAATACAAGTGCCACACGCTTAATTGAAAGTCCATCACCTTCTGTTCGTTTTGAAATGTTAGCTGAAACGAAAAAAAAGCGACGTAGTAAAGAACGATCAATTAGTAAAGTAGAACTAATGAATTCTGATTCTGCAAGTGGCGAAGAAAGTCCTCGCACATCATTTAGAAATTCTTATGATGGTGAGGTTGTAAGATACAGTAATAACAAAGATTTAACTATTTTAGAAGATTTTAAATCTCCACAAATGGGTAGACCAAATACTATGTCTAACCCTACCCGATTAAAAGAAGAATCATCTTATGATGTAATGTATATTGAAAATGAATCTGTCGGATCCCGACCGAAATCTCCTTCTCCAAAACAAAGCCAAACAGTTTTTATTGAGCAGAAGCAGAATGCTTACTTTAATGCTAAATCATCACAAAGTTCTCTTTCAACTGTTCATTTGCATGATCTTAATGAAATCAGTCGATTTGTTTCGCCTCAAGTTTTTAACACTTCTCGGTTAACACCTATGAAAGAAGCTTCTATCGATAGTATACATTCAGCTCCCTTTAGTGTTGCAGAAAATAATTTAGTATCACCTTTATGTAGTACTGGAGGTTCTGTACAAGAAACATCTGTAGTTACAAATGAGCGAATAGTATCTCCTTTGGCAAGTGTATCTAAGCAAGCAAAACAGGATTCAGCAGTTGTAACAACTACACAAGCATCACTTCCAAATGCTGTGGAGTCTCAAAACGATTTTATTATTAACATTACTGCAGATGCAGATGCTATTAAGTCACATAAAGACCATGTTTATACAACTGAGGAAAGTAGACTAGTTCCTTTAAAAGATTCATCTTTAGAAATTACACAATATAGTATGGCCTCTGCTGGAAGCAATACTAAATCAATTTCTTTGCCTGCAGAGATTAATCAAAAACCCAAAGACAATGTTTTATTTAATTCTTTTAACGTAAATCCCGATATTGATCAGTATAAAGCGAACAATAATACAATAAATAAAAGTGCATTAAATATAAATTCAGAAGATGAGAGCCTCATATTTGAAGATGAGTTTGGAGACACAAACGAAGGTCTTTTACAAATACAAAAGCTAGAACCGGTCAAAGAAGAAAAAGCTAGTAATCATTTGAGTGATAACAGCGAGAAAATTGCAGAATATGCTTCCGCCTTTAAATCCAAAAAAAAGACATCCAGTATATATTCATATGGATCGGATTCAGGATTATCTGAAAATGAGGTTTCATTAGCAAAAATAGACGAAAATTTTTCCACTCACACATTGACTGATACATTAAATAGAGTTCGCAAGCTCAGTGATGCATTTCCAAATGTGGTTGATCAAGACAAAAAACGTTCATTACCTCATCCTCATTTAACAACAACCAATTCCCTTTCAGAAATATCTGTTGTTGAATATAGTAAGAAAAAAAAGTTGAAAAAGAAACGCTTACTAGGTAATGATAAAAAAGATCTACCTCCTCTTAGAGGTAGAAGGCCTTTGGCCGAGGTAGAGGAAGAAGGTGTCGACCGAGATGGTGTATGATTTTATTTTTATAGGGTTTAAATTATAATTTATTTTTTAAAAAGATGTATATAAGGTGTTTAATATGAAAATATTGATTTTATTTAAGTTTGTTTATCAAGTCATCTAAATGTACTACAGGTTCACACTCAACCATCATGAAATTTTTACAAAGCAATATTTGCGCGTTTGCGCCTAGAAGTTTTGTTTTAGCATGTAATTTTTGCAATTTTTAAATATTTAAATAATGTAAAACTAAAATTACTAGGAATGTTTAAAGGTGTAGATAATCTGTTAGCTTGTAATTTGCAGTTTTTAGTTGCAAAAGTTTCACCATCAATGTTTTCTGTTAGAAGGTCCAAAATGTTTTTGTTTTGATTTTTTAAGTTTCTACTGTTACTTTTGGCCGTTCATCCGTTGGGTTTGGTGTTGGAAAAACTTCAAAATGCAGTCGTTTAATTGACGATTTTATACCAAATAAAATCACGTTCAAATTTACTTTCATATGCGTGTTATAAGTCTTCCAACTTGGCAATAATTCTATGAGGTTCTTCAATCCAGTACGTATAAAAACTCGTTGTTCGCCATTGACTTTTTTTTCCAACCGTCTCTTATACAAGAGTTATTTGTAATTTGTATAGCTGGCTGTATCCTTTATCAAAATCTTTATTTATGATTATATAATCTTGGTATCTTCCTTCTTTAGTTGCAAGAGTATAGCGTGTGTGTGTGTGTGTGTGTGTGTGTGTGTGTGTGTGTGTGTGTGTGTGTGTGTGTGTGTGTGTGTGTGTGTGTGTGTGTGTGTGTGTGTGTGTGTGTGTGTGTGTGTGTGTAAAACTAATAGAAAAAAAGTAATGAAACTTGGTCAACGCTCAGGCGTAAAATTTAGCGTTATATTTATCTTATTTTACCAACATTATATTGAAAATAAATTAAAAACGTTTAAGATAATTGCTACAATATTGTAGTTGAAATAAATTGCGAGTTTTTTTACAACTATAAGTTTGAAGTTTTCTTTTTAAAGTATCTTTTTAAAAAAATGTTACAATTAATCAAGTGGTTTTTAATCCGAGGTGTTGAGTTTTGTAGTCTTGCACTTGTTGGTTTGAGTTCATTCATGTAACAGTAGGGTTTTTTAAATTTAAAAATCAATAGTTGAAATCAGTATGCCTTTTAAAAACAATATACCAGTTGTTGTTCAATAAATACCTCAGTAATTTTTTTCGATGAACGATGTTCATCGAAAAAAATTACCGAGGTATTTATTGAACCGAGGTATTTAAATCACAATGTTTTTATGAAGTGAGGGTGCAATTTTTAAAATATGTAATATATAACCTTACGATGGGTACCTGATGTTGACACCACTAAATGTTACAAAATAAAAAAGATAATTAATGAAAAAACTTTTTAAAATTATGCGTTGTTTATAATATAAAATTATTTTATTGATCGTTTGTAATTCTTTTGAAAAAATACAACCTTACGATTGCTACTAAGCGTTGATGCCACCAAAGGATGCAAAATAAAAAGTATAACGATCAAATAGCACAATTAAATTTTTATATTAATCTTATGATTTGACAAAATATTCGATAATCTTCTAATTGGTCATTTATAATTAACAATATTAATTATATAAAATATTTAGAAAAAAAGTTTATAATGTTTTTTATAATTGTGAGTATTTCATATTTGCAATGATTTGTTTTATATGCGTCCTGATTTGTAATGTAGGTTTCTGGTATTTCGTCTGGTTCCTGATAACTCACCAAATACCTGGCTTTTCTATAGGATTCTGGTATTTTATATAGCTCCTAATGTTATAGCTCATAATCAGAATCATCATAATGACCCTGCTTCTTTTAACTTGTAATGGCTACAAGAAGTAATCTCTGACTTAAACTCTCTCTTGCTAAACTGTGCTCCTGGTCAAGAAAAAGCTATTTTTTAATATTAACCAGTCTTGCACCTTTCTTCACCGAGTAGTATATTGCTTATTCAAACAACTTTGGTAAAAGACTTTAAAAAGTCAAGTCCTTGGTCTAGACATAAATATTTACGTATTAATTGACCTTTTTGTTTTGAAATTAGCTTTAAACTCAGAGTATTTTGACTATTCTTTTATGTGTTTTTGTTTAACACTTCTTTGCTCAACCAAGTTTCTCTTTGGTTTTTATCGCTCTTCTTCTCAACGCTGCACTCTTTTTAATATTTCTAAGTAAATAAACGAGAACATTTTCTTTTTATCCATCCGACAATATTGTTGTTAGAGACTTTTAAAAAATCCTCCACTTTTTTTACAGTCTTATTACCTAATTTTATTTTTATTTATATTTTTATTTTATTTTTATTTATATTTATTATATTTTTAGAGTCTTATTACCTAATTTTATTACCTCTTTCAAGGATAAAAAAGAAAACTATTTGTAAGGTAGGATCCCTAAATTTGCGGGGCCGGGGGCTATAGCCTCCTCTCCTTGATCCGACACTGTAACTAGGGGAGACCAGGGTTAGTTAAAACGCTTTTTTTTTATTTGTAAACTTGTGGCCAAAATGCAAACATTTTTGGAAATTTTTATTGCTTTAATACTACTTACTAAAGCACATTCACGAACTTACTAAAGCACATAATATTCACTAATAATATTCACTAATAATGATTAAATTTAGTTAAAACAAACCCCGCAATTGAGGCTAGTTGTAACAGACAATAGGGTTAGTTGAAAAATAATATGAAAGTTTAAAATACGGCATGATTGATTATAAAAAATGCACTTTAACATAACACAAGTATCATATATGTGCATATATATATATATATATATATATAAATATCAGTCGTCAGCACAGAAGTCACAGATGTATTTAACAGCATGTGACTCTGTACTTGAGCATGCCTCGTGAACCCAAAGGTAACACACAGAGCACATAATCCACTTTTCTTCCGGATTGGACTCACTAAACATTTCTCGGCAATATATGTTTGTTGCTTCTTGCTCGCTATTATTAATTAATGAAGACTTTTTACGGTTTTCAGGTTTTTTGTCTTAGCTTGGAATGTCATAAATAGTAATTGTTTTGCCTTTATTAGCATTCCTTTATGTATTACATGCAGTGTTGAAGAATTTTTCAAAAGGAAAGTAAACAGATCTTTCTACACAACATAACAACTTCATTGGCCTTCGCAAAATCCAAAACTTCTAGGTTAATGTACAACTCATGATTGTCAAGTAGCAATAAAACTGGTCGCTGTGGGGTGTATCACACGTGAGTCACAAAGTATATGTTCAAAATAATAAAGAACAAGCTGCGGTCAACGACATGCGGTAGCAAGATTTAAATAAATGAAAACACATGCTAAATAAAAAGATCCTTTTAAACTCTAATTTAGTATGCTAGTATGGATAATTATAAAAATAACAAAAATAATTTATGGACGATAAGAGAAGGAATATAATTGATGGCTTAAAACAAAAACGTTCCAACAAACCCCTTTTTAACAAGTGCATTCTTAAACAATTTAATTAAGGTATCCTATGCACAAAACCCTTTAAAAAGCACATTAAAAGAAAGCGCAAAAAAAAAAAATACTACTTAGATGTTATCAAACTATTTTATTATCTTGTATAATATAAGATTACAATTAATAATACAAAAATCACAAAAAGTTTCTTTTATGTGTACAATTCTCTAAAATCTTGTCCAACAGCAAAATAGAATGTATTTTAGTTCTTAAAACTTTCGTTTCTTGTTTGTAATAATAAACTGCTCGTTAGTCGGCGCAAAAGTTCAATGTTTCAACTAACCCCGTATTCGAACTAACCCCGGTGTCCCCTACACTTTTTATAATATTTTGGAAAAACAGGTTAATCCTTTTTTAGACTTCCAAATCTCTTTGTCATCCATTGCTGATGTTATTTGTTGCTTAAATTTTTTTGCAGCTTGTAGTTTAGACAAATTCCTCACCTAAGCTCTCCACAATTTTCTCTAAACGATTTTACAAGTTTTTAACTGAATCTTTCTTGTTTTACTTGTTCAATAATTTGTAGTTTTAATTATAAAAACTCTGAATATTGCTCTGACTCCATTGCCCAAAATTCGTACTATTACTGACTCCATTGCCCAGAATTAATGAAGTACTATTATTAGTAAAGTCTTTGAATTTTTAATCAACTAATTTCTCGTATCTCATCTCAAACCCAACAATTTATTTCTGACAATGAATACAAATTATGATATTCCCGAAAAAAAACCTTAATTGTGCATTAGATAGCGGTAAATTATGAGCAAGGCCTGATGCTCTTGATATTTCAAATATAATTATAGAAATTTTTCAAAAAATCCTAGCATGCTGTTTTTCTCCACAAACTTTCTTTTTTTTTCTCTATTAAAATAAGTATTAAAATAATCTTTTATAGTGAAAACTCTTCTTCATTTTCTGGAACCCTGGAATTTAAATTAAACATATTAAATAACTGCTTGTCGACAAAGAAATTAGTATTTTTTATATATATATATATTGTAGCAAGATGATTCTATATTTTGGCAATTAAAGTATTGTAAGGTACATAACTGTTTTATTAGAAAAAAAATCTTATTTTACACTAATGAACTAATAACATAAACACGCTGTTTTGTATAAAATTCAATAGAGAAGAAAAGTAATATCGTCGCTGGAAAAACTTAAGTCCATTTTTGGCAAAATAAACTTTTTTGGTTTAAGATACTTCTTAGGTGCACAAAAGTCATCTCACAAAGTATGGAACCAAAATTGATTCAACTTTTGCAACTATGAGTAAAATTCAAATATCTATGTCCTAAAAAAAATAATTAAGAGACATCGTTGCTGCACAACAAAACTATCCACAAAAAAAGTCAATTTTTTGGCAAAAAAAAAAAAAAACACTTTTTTGGTTTAAAAGACTTAACACATATAATAATCAGAACAGCAATACGGACTTAAGATTGTCTTGTTTTGCAGCGGCAATTTAATTTGTAGAATTTTGACATATTTTATATAGCTTTAAGACTATCTTAAGTCCATTTGCATTGCTTCTGATAAACTTAAATTTTTGATTTTTTTCATTTGTTATATTATGAAAAATGATAACATATTCTAAAAGTATTTTAAAAACAATTTGGTTTAATGAAGAAGAACAAACACAGTTTATTTATTTACACTTTTGCCGATTTACAGTCGTAACTTATAAAAAAAAATTTACAGTCGTAACTTATAAAAAAAAATAATTACATGACCGGGGCTAGAAGAAGACAAATTTAGTCTTGTCATTAAGCCCCAAAATTTTACAAATTTTTTTTTCTCAAATAATATTTGTAATTAGTTCGTAAATATGAATCTATAAAAAAATTAATAATATTTATATGAAACCTATTGAAATAATTACTTAGCAGTGATGAATTAAAAACTTTAAATGCGTTTTTCTCAGAACTGCAAAAATGGACTTAAGATAGTCTTGTTTTGCAGCGACAATATATTATCTAAAGTATGTTCAAAGATCTTCACAATGAAATGAAACTTTAGTTGTAAGTTCTAAAAGCATAACATCTATAATACCTTGAACTATAAAAAGATATCTTTAAGAATAATTAGTTAACCACCTCTGGTTAGTCCATTAAAAACATAATATTTCAGTAAGAAAATAACATATAAAACATGAATATTTTGACTATAAAATAAATTATTTTAAAATACTCTTATAAAATGCAATATTTACAGCAGGTATAAACTTGAACATGCTTTGAAGAACATTGGCTTTATCATTTGGAATTTGAGCACCCTGATTCAAGGCAGAAAACATTAGTACTTCTGCCATGACTAAGATCGTAGATTGTTAACTTTTGAACAAACATTAGAACATGATTTTCTGCAGTGACACATACAGAAAATTTTATTGATAATTGATATTGTAAAAATAAAAAAATGAAAAATAAAAACTAGTGCTCAATATTTAATTTAAAATGAGAACATCTACTTTGACCGAACTTTAAATACCATCTAATAAGTTCGGCCACTATATAAATACTAATATCGTATCACAAACTTAACGTCACAAGTAATGAAAACTATTTTTTAAATGTTTTTTTATTGTAAAATTACGATATAAATTCAGGTAATACCAGTAACTAAGGAGGGCGTCGGCCCGGGCTCAAAAAAAACTATTTTGGGGCATCAAGTAAAACAAGAAGGAGCACATAAAAAAAGGCCTTTCTAAAATAAGTAGTAGTAGTATTTTAAATTTTTATTGTAATTAGTCAACTATTTTATTACTTTGGACATAATCACATATGCTACGCCACCGGTTAATACAATTAAAAATATATTTTTCAGTTAATTTAAAAAGATTTTTTTCAATTAACAAAAAAAACACTACTTTTGCTTTAAATTAGCTTTGTATATTTACTGGCAATTCTTGCATGTATCCGTTAACCATAGCAGAACAGCAAAATCCTCACAAACAATTGTCACATTAATTTTATCTCTAAAAAAATGTCACAAGCATGATATTTTTTAGAACTCAAAGAACCGTCGAAATTATGAACAAATTTTTTGTTCAAATAAAATACCATGGTGTGTATCGATTATAAAAATGTCAAAATTTACTGGTAAATTTACATTTAAAGTTACCGGTAAACTTTACATTCGCAACACTTATGAGTATTTCATAATATTACTGCTAATTGTCTCCTTCGTTGTTTATCCGTGAATGACCGAAGTTAGAGTATTTAAAAATTTCATTAATTTAATTTAAAAAATAGTTGATTTTTAAAAATTAATAATTTTTTTTGTAAATATAATTAATTTGGTGATTCTTAATAATGCTAAAATTAAATACGATCATTTATTTTAATAGTTTGTTTATTTTAGATTTTACCAGTATGCATTTTTAAAATTGTTGTTTTGCTAAAAAATTATTTCAAAAGGTTTCATATAAATATTATCAATTTTTTTATAGATTCATATTTACGAACTAATTACAAATATTATTTGAGAAAAAAAAATTTGTAAAATTTGAGTTTTGCATGCTTTTTTTATATTTTTTCTTAAATGACTGAATTTACATGGTGACCGAACTTAGGCGGTTTTACGGTATACATGATCTGAATGCTATATGCTTTATCTGGATATATGGAACAAGCTTAAAATTAAAAAAGTCTTCAATAGCTAAAAAATGTTTGAAATCCAATTTCTTCACTTGGTAGACAGAAAATCTTTTTAGAAGAGCAGGGTTTGGTCTGATTAAACCAAGGGGACTAAATATTTCAACAGGAGCGAGTGTTCTATCAATTTGACTGTGGATATTATCAACCACTTTTATACTAGAACTCCCTGGTCTTAAACTTTTGTTAAATTACTCTGATTTTTAGGTAACATATCACAAACCAAAAATCAACAAATATACAGGCCCGTAGCAACCGGGCCTGTATGTGTGTGTGTGTGTGTGTGTGTGTGTGTGTGTGTGTGTGTGTGTGTGTGTGTGTGTGTGTGTGATATATCTGTATGTGTGACAAACTGTGTCACATTAAAAAACCAATGCCATGAACTTTATTCAATAGTTAATGGTAAGTGGTTTTGCAATAACTTTACAAGACACTTCAGTGGACTATAATTTTAAACCAATTTTTTGGTTTTTGTGGAAAGTATGAAGCGCAGGACACAAACAAAAAAAATTTGTCTAATCTCACCCCATTTTAGATTTTTTACTTCAAAGAATAAAAGGTGCAACTCAGTTCATTATTTCATAAATTATTTGCTTCTAATATTGATTTTTTTTTAAGACATTAAAATGAATGCAATCTGTTGTGAATGGCATTATACCTTATAGTAATTTTAAAGTATGACCTATGATTCCAATGTTCCAAATAAAAAGATATAGGTGCTGGTTCAGAAAACTAGTATGAAATTATTTTAGAGGACATAAATTCCAAGTATTTAAGTATTTTCATTTTAATTGTTTTTTGACATTTTCAATCCACATTTTGTTTAGCCAAAATTATACCTCTAGGGAAATCTTAATTTTACAAACGTAAATAGTTATAGAGTACTTACAATTTGTACTGAAGTTAATGAAGGTATTTTGTTTAGAAGAAATGAAAATCACGATAACGCTGATAAAGTTTAATTTCAAGCTAGATCACTTCGCAATGTCAAAATATTTTAAAAATAAAATTATTTATCATTTATAAACCATTATTATTTTGAAACAAAAATAATAAAGTTATAAAATATATTTATTGTGTATTATTATAAATTATATATTTTAATTATTTGTAAAGATAATTTTAACTAGATAAAGTTTTTTTTTTTTTTTTTAGTTTTATTTAGGTGAACCAAAGAAGTCATCACGGTCTTTTCACAGAGCAACGCGGGTGAGCATTTAATAGAAAGTTCACGCTAACCGATGTCGCAAAACTTACCCAGAGGTGAGGTTTGAATCATGCAAAACTTACCCAGAGGTGGGGTTTGAATCATGGGTTCTTTGATTCTGAGGCAAGTGCTCTACCACTGCGCCACAGCTGCTCTTTAAAACTTTATATCATTCAAATTTTATGCATTTTTTGTTAACAAAATATCTTTTTAACAAACAATTTTTTAATTTTTTTTTTGGTTTTAATCAAAATTTTTATTTTAGGTCATAATAAAATTCTTTTTTAATAAATAAAAAGAACAGATAAAAAAACAATAGAAAAACTTTTTTTGTTTAAATAATATAAAAAATTATATCGTTAAAGTTCAAGATATATTGTTTAAAATATATCAAATATACTCAAGTTAGGAATTTTATTTCCTAATTTGAAAAATGAATTCAAATTGGGTTATCAATTTCGTTCACTTCATTCAATTTAGGTTATCATTTTATTTCAGTGCTTTAACTAATCTTCATTTTTAGCATTTTCGCTATTTGTTGGAATATCTTCTGAATTTTTAGGGATCTTTGGGTCAGTAATTTTTCGCAAAAGAAATTTTTTTTTACCAATGAGTCTATCAAAAATCAGCTTTAAACCAATAAAAGTTGCGATAGAACAACAAAAGCAACCGCACATAATGTAAAAAATTACAGACACTGGCATACGTGATCCTAAAGTGCACAAAAAGGACCAGAATGGAAAATTAGATGCTTTTAAGACAGTATATATTTGTTGGTATTTGTTTTTTTTCATATTACCAACCGCCCAACAATGTAAATATTTTTCTTTAGTGTACAAGCCGTATATTAAAATTATAAGATTAAAAGTACTTGAAAAAAAAATTACCAAAGAGGTAACAAGAATGCTTTTTTTGGCATCACGATTTTGATTAGTGGCGTAAACAACGACCATGTTTCCAGCAAGTGGTGTTAAACATGCTAAAGCAAGTGAAATCTTTTGCAGATAAACTATTATGACATTTGTCGACTTAAACAAATGCAAGACACCATGGTTTGAATACCATAAAATTGAAATAATTGCAAATATTCCAAAGTAAATAAAAAAATCTTTTTTCATATGCATTAATTCATACGTCAAACCGTGATTTAAAACGTTTTGATAAGTAGGAAATTCATCAATTGTAATGTCAAGAATTAAAATGCAAGCAATTATTGCAAAGGCAGCGTCACTCATGGCAGTGACGCGTTCTATTGAAATATTTCCTTTTGTGAAATGAAAAAAGAACGGAGATTTTTCTATTTTTGTTTGTGATATTGTATGACGTCTGACATAAAAAAACAGTTTTTTAAATGGTGGCATTAGAATTATCATGGCAATGAATACCCAAGCTAATACGTGGTTGAGTAAAATAAATAAACTGCCCATAATAAAAAATACAATATTAAAAATGTTTTGTAAACATAGCATATTTCGAAATCTGCGTCGTTCAGCTTTTGTCCAAGTATGCAATTCAACGTGTAAAACACTGGGATGTTCCATAGAATAAAATAATACACACAAATCAGTAAGCTCAATTAGCGCCAGTAACGAGCATGTAATCCAAACAGAAATTGTTTCTCCAGGATAATGCCCTTCTAGTGACAAAGAAAACGGTAACAGCGAGGTTAGAAACATTGTGAACATAGTCATAAAAAGCAGAATGTCGTCAACTCTTTTTATGAGCAACGATCTTATATTGATAGATTCCCATATCGTTAATACAACTAAGTAACCAAGTAAAAACATAATAAACTCCGTTCGATTTTCGTATAAATGGTCGCCTAAAAAGTGATTAGGGCTTATATCTTTTATTTTTCTCAATGGAATTACTAAAAATGTTGCACAAGTAGCCATCATAGCATCAACATAACCAAGCATTCGTTGTGGCGATACGATGTCGCCGCGATGAAGTAAATCAGGCATTATGTCGTTCACATGAATATCATAATGTTCTTCCAGATGTTTTAACTTATTTTTATAGTTAACTAATGCCATAGAAACTTCATTCTGATCTTCTGAAACAACTTTACGTTTCTTAAAAAGACGTAAGAATATTTTAGGTTCCGGTTTTGTTAAGTTGTTCTGCTGTATAAGTGATTCGTCAAGATTTTCATCAAAATTTGTAGAGTTTGTAGTTTCGGAAAGAGATTTGTTTTCTGGTACCATTTCAGATATATTAATTATTAATCTTTTCTTTACTTTGTTTTATTTATACTTTTATTTCGCTATTAACTCTTAACTGTTCTCAACACCGATCGTTTTAAACAACTTTTTCTTTCAATCTTTTTGTTGTTTTGTTTTTGTTGTAAACGTTCTTGAAAATGACTGTCCACGTGATCATTTTATTTTGATATTGAAAATTTCTTGAAACACTAATATTATTAAGTATAAATACTAACTTTAACAAGTAGTAACGATAATAATTAAATAAAGTTTTTTTAACATAAAAGATTATTAAAAAATTTCAAAAGTTTTTGTTCTACCTTTTTATAGCTATTGTAATTTCTCATGCTTACTTTGATCAGAAAAAAATGCAGAAGTTACGAAGCGTGATCTTAACTGCGCTATAACATTTACCAATACAAACAAGCGCGATTTTTCAAATCTAAAAAAAATATCACAAAGATTGATAAAGTTAAAAATAAATGATATCATGTTAAAGTTTTTTTTTTTAAATTATTTTTCTTCTTTTAGCGTCAGTTCGGTAAAAAAAACTTAAAAACTAAAAAAAAAACTTAAATATATAATCGTAATAAGATTTAATTCAGAACTATTATAATTATATTAATTATGATCTAAAAATATTTTATTATGTGATAGATTAAGACAAAGTTATAAAAAACCTCAAAATATTAACTTTGTTTACAAATTTGCCGACAATATTATCTTTTTACAAACAACGATTGACAACAAAAATTCTTAGAGTATAGAATATATAGTAAGATTAAATGATTTTAATAATTCGGTATTTCAATTATTTGGTATATATTCGAAATATATTCTAAGAAAATTTTTTTTACCAACTCAGTCAGCACGAAATTCTAGTTAAATCGAGTTTATTGTTATCTAGAATGTGTGTCGCTGTTTAGTTAGTTTTGACAAATAATAGCTTTAACTAAGTAACAAGCTGAAATCAGATAGTTTCATTTATAAAACATCAGATAGTGTCTTTCATTTATTAAGCGTCAGATAATGCCTTTCATTTATGAAACATCAGATAGTGTCTTTCATTTATGAAACATCAAGTAGTGTCTTTCATCTATGAAACTTAAAAATCAACTCAAATATAAGCACAGATTATAATCTCTTTAACTTATAAAACTTTATTCGGGTAGAAGTTGCTAACGTAATTATTCATTTTTTTTTTATAAATCATTTAAAGCTTAAACCTGGTGTGTTGTTGTGCGACTGCATTACAGGTTTAACTTTAGTTTTCTAACTACTAATCTACAACATCAGATTTAACTACACACCTGGTTTAAATTAAGTTTTCTACTTGCGACTCTACAACTCCAGGTTTAACTACACACTAGTTTTTAGTTACACACCAGGTTTCACTTAAGTTTTCTATTTACTACTCTACAACACCAGGTTTAACCGCACACCAGGTTTAAAGTTTTCTAATAATTAATCTTCCTTTAACTTTACATTTTAGACAATGAAAATTTGTTGTACTTAATTACACTTTTCGACGTGTTAAAACCTAGCTATTGATCATTCTATGTTCTCAACATTAGTGAATTTGAATGCTGTCTCGTACGTCGTGACGTTGAAAAAAAAAAATTTAAACAACAATAATATGAAAAGGCATTTAAAACTCAAGTGAAGTAACTTGCTGGAAATTATCATAGAGCTCTTAAATTAATTCGATTCAAACAAAAGCCACTCCAACATAATTTTTAGTAATCCCCCATCTAACTTATTTTGATTCAGCGTACAAACTTCGTAAAAATTAATTTAAAGATTATTGAAAGTACATGCATCAGCTGACAGGTTCGGATCTTTTTTTATAAATACATACATGCACTGACAGGTAAAAAACTTTCTCAGCAAAATGTATTTACAGCAGTTGAATAGTTTTAGTTATTAAAAATCACATGTGCTTACAAACAACCTTTTATTTAGCCTGCTGGCTTGAATATTAAAAATAAAAACTATAAAAACATTGATTATTAAAATTCATAAAAATAGTTAAATCATAAATGAAAACTAAAAAACCTTTATTGGTTTTTTTTTTATAATAACTTTCGGAACTTTTGAAACTTTATGAATAGAATAACTATGGTTATACTACATTACGTACACTCGTACGTTAAATGGCACCAGAGCATTCTTTTTGCGTACGAGTGCTATTTCAAAAAAAAAAAAAAAAAAAAAAAAAATTAAGTACTTAAAGTAAAACACGGCGACAAAAGTAAAAACTTATTTTTTAGATATTAAGGTGCTTTAAGAAGATCTAACGGATTTATCAAAGAGTACTTCAAAAGCTCATTTAATCAGGAAATTCACTCCTTCCATACAAATGTCGTTTTTCTGGCTAGAGCCGGCAGCGGGCCTGTAACCTTTTGGTTCTGAGCCAGAATACTTAATACCACGGCTGCTTTAAAAGTACTTGACAAATAGGAGCACCATTTTTTTAAGTTTAAACATTAGCGTGTTCTCCTTCGTAAAATAAGGACTCTAAAGCCCTTGTGTAAAGCACTGTATATACTATATAAAGGAATCAAAAAAATTTGTAATAAAAATTTAAGAACTTGTGCAAAGTTATTGAAAATTGATTTTTTCCAAATTTATTAACCCTTTTAAAGCTTTCTCCGAAAAGGATGAAACTTAAAGTTTAAGATAATATATAACGAGTTTTATTTACTAATAGAATTTTTCTCTTAGTTGCCATAAAATAGTTAATAGATACATTGCGAAAAAATCAACTTTATGAAACAAATAAAAAATAAAATCAATGAACTTTATGAAATAAATGACAAAAAAAAAAGTCAATGAACATTATCAAAAAGATTTTTTAATTTTTTTTTTTTAATTAATTTTTTAATTTTTTTAATAAGATTTTTTAATTAATTTTTAATAATTATAGGCAGTTTAGGCAATATTTATTGCAAATGTAAATATTTTTTATATTAAATGCATTATATTCCTTAATATATTTCATTTTCAAAATGGTTTTAACCACCTCTGTAGCTTATTTAGTTCGAAAGATATACGTGTTTTAATATTTTCAATTCATAGACTTTTTATGAAATATTTTCTTAAAGTATCTAGTTCAATTTTTGGCACCGAAAAAAAAAACTTTTTTTTTTTTTTTTTTTTTTTTTTTTTTTTTTTTGCGTAAAAAGTTGCGTAAACTAACTTAGAATAAAATTTTATTAGAAAATAAATTGTAAATCTAAATTATTTGAACAATTCATAAGTAGAATTTTTTTTGGGGGTTAACGCAGACGTACCATGAAATAGTCAAATAACTGTATAATATGTTTAAATGTTTTAAACTTTTTTGACACAAAATAAATTTTCAAATGTTTTAATTTATAATACGTTGAGCGTAACAAAACTTTGATGATAAATATTAACTTAAATTAATTTTATTTTTCTTTAATAAATTATCAATTGAACAACGTGGACCCAAATAAAACACGCCGAAAACGTCAAAATATGTACAAAATAAACAAATCTAAAATTTATTTTTACACAAACAAATAAAGAAATTAGTCAAAGACTTGTTAATAATTTCAGTATTGTTATAGATTTAAAAAAAGATTTAACCACTTATAGTCTACTGATTCGACTAATTTATTGTTTTCAGCACCTATCATAATATAAAAAATGTTCTATTTTTTAATGGGGTTAAGGTTTTTAACTTTTTTTAAAATTTTGAAAACAGTGAATGAAAAACTCGTTGAATTGTTCTATTTCATTGTGTTTGGCTTTATTTGATTGTGTACTCTCGAGTCCTAAATTCCAAGGGGGGGGGGCGTTTATTAATTTTGGGGAAACTTTGCCACACACACTAAGCTTATTAAGACCCCCCTCCCGTTTATTAATTTTTACTTGTTTTAACAAAAAAATTATGTCTAAAAACTAAAAAAAAATTAGTGAAAATCAGCTTTAAAAATCAAAAAATACATACTAGTTACTGATAAGTAATAAAACTTTCAGTGTAAATTCTGACCCTCCCCTCCCCCGGTTCATTAAATCTTGACTAAACTCCTCCATCCACTTTTATTAACCCCATCCCTCTTGTATTAAGAAATTGAGATTACATAGATTAACAGATACGGAATTAACATAGATTAACAGTCATGGAAATTCTTATACGGATTATCTTATCTATCTATTTGTCTTAAACTTTTTAATAGATGTCTTAAATCGTTTTGTCTTTGAAATAAATTATCGCACTATTAATGTACCCAAATTTGACTATATGTTGCAAACTCAGAAATTTCACTTTTCAAAATTCATTTAAAACTTAGCATACTTCATATCGGTAAATTTACTGAAAAAATATTTTAATTATTGAATTTCAATTCAAACTTCAGAGTAAACTGTGTGTGTATTGTTAACAATCAATTTTATACATAATTTGCCTTTATACATAATTTATTTTCATAAATTAGACAAAATTGTTTAACTTACTTAACGAAGTGCACCAACGAGAAGGTAAGCCATAGGACTTTGCACTCCATCCGTGAGCTGTCATGTTGCCTAAGGTTAGCCCTCCATTTCTGGATTCTTTCCTTTAGGCAGTTCATGTAAAAGTAATAGTAAATTAGCCTAAGGTTAGCCCTCCATTTCTAGATTCTTTCCTTTACTTGATAGGCAGTTCATGTAAAAGTAATAGTATTTTTGCATAAGCTTTTTTTTTTTTTTTAATAATAATAATAATGTGCAGTTAAGCTGCAAATAAACAACAACAAATAAACAAAATTGGAGCAGATAAACATATCAGATATGATTCATACTATTTACAAAGATAAAAACCACTGAACTCAAATGTAGTAAAAAAAACTATTGGAACATAACAATAAAAGAAATAAGATTAATATATACTGTAACATAATTCTAAATTTACATTAAATAAAACCTCTCAATCCTAGCTACAAAGAATAAGATCACCTTTTTCAAAATCTATTTATAAAGGAAATGACCATACTTCATCAGGTTCATTATCATACTTAACAAGGTATGTAGTTCTTCTACCGTTTAATTGATCAATTTGAACCACTTGCGCACGTTCCCAAGATACTTCATGAGCATCTTCTTCTCTAACACGATGTTGTATAGAAAAACCAACAAAATCAGATGGGTTGTTAATAAATTTTGATAAAGAGTGCTTTTTTTGTTGCTCTATTAATTTGTTTAGTCTTGCATCCTGAATTTTTTTCCATTAATTCTTTTTTTTTGTTTTTAACAGCTGCATCACGCATTGTACGAGGCTTTAAATTATTACTTATATTATTACTTAAAGATTGTTTGTTTGGTGTTAAATTTGCTTGAATAACAATAAGAAGATTTTGATATAATTCCTCTGAAGACAAGTTTATTCTTTTGCTTCCTTCTACCTTTGTTTTACAAAAAAGTTTTTTGTCACATTCGACACCTAAGATTATGTGATAAAAATTAAGTTGAGCTAGGAGTATTTTTGATTTCAATGGCTCTTCTATATTAAAAACTGTTTTCTCTGCTTCCTCTAATGATATCCAAGCCCTTACATTTAAATTTATCAAATCATTACAAGCTGCAACCTTTTTATGTTGTAGTTTAGTTTCTTCTCGATTTTTTTCTTCTTGCTTTGCTAGAAGGTGCATAGCTTTATCTCTTTTAATAGCTTCTTTTCTTTCATCATATTTGCTTTTCATTAATGTTACTTTAGTTCTTGAATATTCAAGCAATTGTTTTCTTTCTTCATCTGATTTACCATTAAGCCATTCTAATGTTTGGTTCTGAGACCACATTGTCAAAGCCTGGGTAGTTTGAACATTTGCATTGGGTTTTGGGTTTTAGTTTGAACATTTGCATTGGATCAAACTATCATTTTGAGTGCATTCAAACAGCTTGGTGTAAACCACATCTTGATGAAGAAGATTGGTATCCTCAAAAATTTTTCCATTAGCAAACAATAAAGAAGACGCATCGATTCAAAGAGATGAAAGTCTAACTTTCAAGCGAAGTAGGTAGGGGTTTAAAAATAATATACTATCAAGTGATTCGATAATTCTCCACATTGGACCAGTAAGTAGTTTGTCAATAATACCTAATGCACGGACTTCAGCAATGAATACAAGATTTGTGATATCTTCCTTAATTGCTTTTAATAAGTTATTAGGGTTAGGCCAAGCATTAAGAAATTCTGTTATAGAATCCTTATGATAGTATAGGGCAGCTGCATTGTAATACAAAATATTAAATCGATTTCCAATAAATGGAACCAAATAAGGTTTATCGTTACGAGAAGAAAAAAAAGAATTAAACCATGATGCAACACCAGCTTCCTCACTACCCCTTGAATGAAATGCCTTACATGTAGTACGAACTAACCGTACAGCACCACATTCTTTACCACTAAAAGCAAAAACAGTTTCAAAATCATTTTGAAGCAGAATTTTTTCAAAAGAATTTAAAACTTTATCAGTTTCAGAAGCAAAATTAGCGAGCAAATGAAGTTTACAGAAAAAATTACTCATGTCCTTCATATTGTCTTTGACGTTTGAGGAAAGAAAGTCCCAGTTACTAATTGCAATAGGCAAAAGTTTTTCCCTTAATGTTTTTAACTGTGAGTTAAAAAGAGGATTAACCGAAGAAAGATCAGACATTGTTGATTTTATTGATGTTATTAGTTTAGCAAAATTAATTTCTTTTTCAGTGGCTGAGTTGCTAACAACGTCACATCTACTATATTAGTAAAGTTTTGCAAAACAGTTGCTGCATCTTTACCAACTACTTCTGACAGACCAAAAGATAAAGTTTTCCCACTAGTTGTAGTAATTTGAAAGTTTTGATAATGCTTATGGTATTTCTGAGTACCATCACCATGCAAACAATTGCCTATTTTAGAATTTTTATTTATCAAATTATTTTCAAGCATTGCTTTTGCAACTTGAAATTGACCTAAAATTAAAGCTTCCTGCATTAACCTACATTTTACAGCGGCTGATGGCAGTCTAGATATGTTCTTTTTGGCTAGTCTGTTTAAAACTACTTTTATGACTTCATTGACACTATTCATACTCACGTTCATTGAAAGAAGTTTCATTATTGTTTCTCGAATGTCATCACTGTATCTGCCATCTTCAAATGTTATTACTTCGTCATCATCCAGCAAAGAAACCAATTTTTGAAGTTCTAGATTCTCCTCTTTTCTCAAAACAACTTCCTTCTCTAAACTTGTAACATCTTTCATATTGTTGTCATTAATATATTTTATTTTGCAAAATAATTTTTAAATAACTCACTTTTTTTTTGCAGCTTTATTTTTTCGTTTTTTAATTCAGAAATGTTTATATATGAGTTTTCAAGAATTGAATTAATATCTGTTATTTAATTTTTTATTGCAATATTATTTTTTTTTCTTCATTTTTTAACGAATTTATTTTATTCTTTTTTATTTCCAGCTGAGTATCACGATATTTTATTATTTTATTATTATTTCTAACATTAAATGATTCTTTTTTTTGACTTTAATAGCTCTAATTTGTTTTCAATATTATTAAGCTTTTCTTCTTTTTCACAATAACACTTTTTAATAAAGTTTAATTCAGCTTCTATTAGGGAGTTTTTCGAAATAAGTGTTTTTAGATTGTTTGACATATCTTCAAAATCTTTTAGATGTGTAAAATAATCCATTTGTAAATCCATCATAGATTCCATTTGATGACCTTTTAAGTTACATTTTTAAATGTTTTTTAATAAAAATGATATAAAAATAAGAGAAAAGTGTTTTCATAGTTAAATTGAGGGGGCCCCCATATAAAAAAGGTTTTTTTTGGAGGATGATTTTTGAGAATGATTTAGGGTGATAATTTTTGAGAATGATTTAGGATGATATGATTTTGGGATGATAGAGAATGTAAAAGGATGATATGATTTTGAGGAGGATATGATTTTGAGGATGATAGAGGATGATAAAGGTCGATATAAATTCGGTGACGTTTATTTGGATTATAAAATGGGATTATATTTTTCAAACAGATTGGAATCTAATACAATTCATTGTAATTAGTTTTTAATATTGTTTGATAATTAAATTAATTAAACTTGGTCTTCGAGCATATTGTGAAATATTTACAATTTATTGTAAAAAAATATAAAAAAATATAAAAAATAAAAATGTATCGACCTTTATCATCCTCTATCATCCTCAAAATCATATCCTCCTCAAAATCATATCATCCTATTACATTCTCTATCATCCCAAAATTATATCATCCTAAATCATTCTCAAAAATTATCACCCTAAATTATTCTCAAAAATCATCCTCCAAAAAAAACCTTTTTTATATGGGGACCCCCTCAATTTAACTATGAAAACACTTTTCTCTTATTTTTATATCATTTTTATTAAAAAACATTAAAAAATGTAACTTAAAAGGTCATCATCCATTTTCCTTTTTAAAATTTTATTTTCTTTTTTAAGCATTTTGTTTTCGCTTATCAGTATTGTTTCTTTAGGAATTTCTGATGCACTCACTGTATTATCAGAAAAATTTGCCACAGGTGGAAAAAAGGCTTCACCAAATAACAATGCTAATTTTTTATTTTTTTGTTGTTTCTTTAATTTTCTGATGGTGTCAACTAATCTATTTATCTTTTTAGCTAAAGCTTTGTTGCAGCAGAACAGTTCAACTTTAAAATCCAAACAATATCTACAATATATTGCATCATAAGATGTATCTTTTAAAGCCAAATACCAATCATAAATACTTTCATTTATCATTTTATCTAAATAAATAAAGATTTTCCAGTCATCAAATCGAACAAATATATAAACATATAAATATATTATTTCAAAGTCTTTTACTTATTATATATATATATATATATATATATATATATATATATATATATATATATATATATATATATATATATATATATATATATATATATATATATATATATATATATATATATATATATATATATATATATATATATATATATATATATATATATATATATATATATGTATATTTTCATATATATAAACTTAAAAATTTAACAAAACTGAAAGATTTAAAACTAAATAACTTTATCAATTCTAAACCAAAACGTCGTCCCCAAACAAATTATTGTAGTAAAACCTTTTCTAAAAAAAATAACATCTACATGTACGTATATAATATTCATTTTCATGGGTGGGTTTTTATTTTTCAAAACCTACATAAAATCATTTCTGGCGTTTTTTGGAAGTTTTTCAACGATTTTTTTTCCGCGATAAAATGTCACGTGACAAAACTTCCTAATAATTACAAAAAAGTAGTGTAACTTAGTTTTTAAAATATTCATTTATATTCTTTATATTTATTTATATTCTTAACTTAGTTTTTAAAATATTCGTGTATTTAACTCATGTTTCATTTAGTCGCTAATCTTTTTTTTTATATTTGAAAAAAAAAAAATTTTTGTTGATACAATTATTACTAACTGCTAGCTCGGTAAACTTCAGTTTTACTTTTTATGTTTACCAAGTAAAATATATATATACTTGGTAAAATAAATATGTTCACCATACCAGGTAAAATACCAGGTAAAATAAATATGTTACCAAGTAAATAAAAGTACCAGGTAAAATAAATATGTTACCAGGTAAAATGAATACGTAAATATGTTTACCAGGTAAAAATACAAACTAACATTGTTAGTTTGTATTTTTATTTGTATATAACATTGTTAGTTTCTTGCTTTTAAAATATATTTGTTAGTAACAAATATATTTTAAAAGCAAGAAAGAATAAAAGAAGATAAAAATAAAGTAAAAAACATTTAGAAATGCATTTTTCAGGAGTATTTTAAAAAATTGTTTGCTGTTGCTTTGCATTCCAACATTAAACAGTTTGTACTAAATTTTGAAGAATATCTTTAGGAATTACATTTTCTGAATTCTAATTTTAATTTTCTTTTTAACCAGCATTAAGTTTTTATATTAAATTTATAAATGTTGCATTATTCCTTTATATCAATCAAAAAAGTGTTTTACTGAAACATAATTAAGCTGGGAATAATTGGTTTCAAAAGTTATTTTATTGTTTAAACCGTGGATAAATAGTAAAGAACACCAGTAAAGTTTCCATTTATGGAAACCTTATTGGTTTTGTACAAACATTGTCTTGATTTTTTATAGTTTCGAGTTGCATTTCAGTGTATATGTTACACAGGTGGGATGACAGAACTGATCCTTATCTAACTCCTTGCTCAAGAGCAATTGAAACTAATTTGGGTCAAAGTGTGACAAAAGTACAAAAAAAGTTTAATGGAATGATGCAAAACAGTAATATCAATTATCCAGAATATTATAACAAATGAGTACTTTTATTGTGATATAAAGGCTTTAGAACAATAAATGCCATATTTATTTGAAAAAATTTTAGAGTACTAAAAATTTTATAAAAATTTAAATCACTATTGAGAATTTTGATAAGCAACAATTTCAAATGTTACTTATATTATCGCGAAATATACTTTATAATTTTTTTTTAATAAGCCTATTAGTTTTCGATTTCTACAATTTAAAATTGTTTAGTAAGGTATAGTAGACTTTAATTTTGTCAATCAAAATGAATGCTATACCAAAAAAATAAACAAATATAGATATTTTTAAATTATTTTGTCAGATATTTTTTATATCAAAAGTTATCAGTGAACTGACAGCATTTTTTAAAACTTAAACATGCACATATTAATTGTAAATAAAGTTTGCACGCATTTCTTTGCATCTCTGACTAATATTAAGCATATAATAACCATATAAAATTT